CAATAGCTAAGATTACTGCTTCAGAAAAACCTCTGCAATCTGTATAGATTGAAAATTATGATGAGAAAATGTATTTAAATCAGTTTTTGGAATGAAAACAACTAACAGAACATGGTAAATGGATCTCTTTATCATTTCTAGTCTTATTGACCACACAAAGCGCTTTAAAGCACAAGTTACATTCTCCCATTTACACACACATCCATACAGCGCTCCTATATGCAGTGCTTTTTCTACCACATTATTCACACACTGATACAAACAGGGTTAAGTGTCTTGCCCAAGGACACTTCCCATGCGGACTGACGAAAGCTGACATCGAACCACCTGTCTCTTGAGACACAGCCACACTAATACCCACTGGCATACAGCTATTATCACATAGATTATACTAATATATGTGTTACGTGTATATATATGTTTATAGGATACTGGAGAAAATAAAGAAGGTATGAATTTGTCTGCATGAGGTGTCATTGCGTGGCCTTGTATGTTGGCTATCAAGGTGAAGCATCCACACAACAGAGAACAACAAAACGTAGGCAAGTCCTTAAGAGCAAAACATCAACATCTCTTTGCTTTATTATCACAGACGATCCGAGCGCACCCCTGCCTGCTCGAGCTTGTGTTGTGTTTACGGATGCAGTTTACCTTTACTTTGTTTGAATACCGATGTGACGACGGGGTAAGTGTTGGGACATGAACAAAATGAAAGTGTGGAAAGCAACACTCAGTAACACATTTTGAGCCTCAGGGTGAAAGAGATGTATAATAAAAAGGCATATTGCAAGTGTCAGGGATACTGGCTGTCATTTATCCTATTAGGAACTAATAGCATTCATTATCTCTGTGGTAATGGCTCCTTGCCAGTGGTTACCAAACCTTCTGGCTTGTGACCCTTCGCGAGATCCCTCTTGACTTTACCTGTGACCTCTCATGGGGGATTATACTCTCTTAGTCAACACAGCTTCACGTAGAAATAATTTCCCCTTCTGACCCTCTCAGATTGCCTCATTGTTAGACACTTAAGGTAGTCAATTATCCAGCATTCCACAAGAAAAAAAGAATATTAGAAAACTGCTGGACTTCTCCTCCTCAGAGAATGATGAAGTGATGAAATGTACTGAGGGAACACTGCCAACATCACAGAATTACAGTTGATGTTGGAGCTCTTGTTTTACTCAGCAAACATATTGTCCCTCTGTCTTTATATATTGTTTCACCACATAAGAAAAAAATGGTAACCATGGTAACCTACCGGTTCTCTCCCATCCATGGCCTCCATCCACAACCTGCGGTCCTCTTCTGACAGAGCCTGCATGGTGATCACACCCGGCCTTCACACACACACACACGCACGCACATGTCAATACAATTGCTTATTGAATATTGAGGTCAGTGACAAACATTGTCTACTAAGTACATGTTAGTACAGTGTGTATACAGAGTGCAACAACGCCTGTAAAACAAACTACAGCTGTAATCATAAGATCATAATTTAAACAAATAGCTACTCAAAATTCCTTCTGGAGTTTTTCTATCAAGTATAAATAATCTGTACAACATATTTGATAGAAAACATTTCTTGTAAAACGCTTGTTGTCCTCCAACATCTGTAGAAGGATCTGTGTCCATACCTAAACCTAATTCAAAAAGCAAAGCATATTCATGTATGGGTGCCTGAGGTATGACTACACACTTTTCACCAGAACAGTTGATCAACATATTTGTTTCTCCATAAAAGGATAAAAAAAGAGCCAAGAGCTCAGCTTATGAATAAAACAATCTAATGGGGATTTGTGCACACACATGCACGTGCACGCACACCAGTCTACACAGTGTCTTGTCATCATGTTTCCACATTCAACCAAACACACTCAGATGTGACTGTACAGCCACATTCTAGGGATGGGGTAGATGCACGCAAAATTACATGTAAAGTAAAAATAACTTTTGTAAAAAAAAATCACTTATTTTGTTAGTACCTAGTCTATACAACAACAACCACACAAGAATAAATGAATAAAAAGAATAAGAGGCATGTGGGAACAGGAAAAAATAGGATGGGGTGATAACAAGTGAGGTGGTTTTGATGGAGGAGGGCTGGAGCTGAGGAAGTGGAGAAAGAGAGGGAGGAGAGGAAAAGAGGAGATGGAAGATGAAGAGGGGGAGGAGAGGAGAGTAGGAAGAAAAACACTGCAAGGGGCCAAAACTGAGAGGAAGACCAGCAGCCACAGTATCTAGTGCTCAGGTCCAACTCAACTGAGCAGCACCCCCACATGTATCCTACCTGTAATTACACCTTCTAAAGCTCTACAACACAGTCCTGTCAGGCATGTGTCTTCTTCTTACTGGTTAGTATTTAAAAAAAACTAAATTATCATCCCATCTACAGTATGAGTAAGTAGATTTAATTAAATTATTAGTTTATAAATAAAGAGCATATTGCCTAAGTTTTCCCATGCCCTGAATTTTCCTTGTGCAGAATGCCCCAACACTCTAGAGTTGTGACAGCAGGTGGAAAAACTGTAAATAAATACGTAATATGACCCTAAAACTACAGTAAAGTTTGGACATTGCATTAGACTGATTAATAAAGACACAATTTGTACCTTGACTGGAAATGTAATGTGTCATCTTGGTAAGAAATTAAGTGGTAAAAATGTGGAAAGGAACCAGGTGGAAGTGGGTGAAATGAGACACAGTCACTGACCTGTCCACAGCCTCCACATCAAAACAAAACCTCTTTTCTATGGAGTCTGTCTTCCTCCTGGTGCAGGACTTTAAGATGAAGCTCTCCTCTTCTCCCTGACAGAGAGAGAAATAGAGGGGGAGAGAGAAAAGCATCATGGGACACAGCATTAGTAGTGTGATACGTGCAGAACAGATGACAGTCTGGAATGAGGACTGAGGTTTTCAAATCTGAGAACACAAATATTTTTAGAAATTAGTTTTGTCTTAGTTAAGTTTTTGATTATGACTCGCTTTCTTTCCTATCCTGTTGAAAAGAATTAGTTCAAATCTAACTGGAAGCACATTGAAATAATTTAGGTCCAACATTTGCACTATGAGATGGACAGCGACTTGATTCTGCAGGAGCAGAAGTTTCCAGTGAAGTTCAGTGTTTTCTACTTTTACTTTGAGCCTAGTTACTGCAATGACTTCGTGGCAACTGTCAGGAAACAGGCCTGAGCTTGCATCAGATTTGCGTTATGCAGAACGTAGGTGGGAGTGAAAAGAGACACAGAAGCAAATGAGGCTGCACTTTCGTCTTTTAAGGGAGCTGTCAAGGAATAAATTAAGCTATGTCCTAAAACTAGTATCTCCCTGCGTGACTGTGCACTGGTGTGAATCAAGTGTCAAATTTGCTCTTTGTTTTGTTACTGAACGACTGACATAAAACCTTCCTTTTACACTCCTGCCATCAAAATGACTTAATTGCAGCTTCCCCTGAACTATTTCTTGACAGCATGTCATGTGTTGGAGATAATAAAAAAATTAATCCAAGCACACACAGTGGTAAGAGCTGGTTGTGCTCAGCAGTGAGCAGAGTGTGAATGAGAGCTGGAGAGCAGGCAGACGGATGTACCGTCTGAGTACCGGGTGAGAACATACTGTGAAAGAGACAACATGGATACTGTAGGCTGAAAAGACATTTAAGATAACATGTGTTTGATGTGGAACGTTTGTGCGCATGTTTGTTTCTAACTTTCTAAAAAGAAATTCTTTCTAACATAGAGAAACAATGAAAGCTGGAGAGAAGCATATCTTGGATGTTTAGTGTCAGTGTGAGGACAGCTCTACGTGCAGGTGTGAACCATAGACTGCATGTGTGAATATGGACCACATGACTACTCCAAAGTGAAGCCAAAGCATTTGATTGCCCCCTGGTGGCTGGCTGCAGTATAGCTCATAAACCCTGAGTCCTCCATGTTAGTGGATGGGACATGGACCAAACTAAAAAAAAAAATCAAACTTCACATCAAACACATTTTTCTCAAAGGTGGTTTCTGTCATTTCAGGCAATTCTTGTCACACAATTGTTTGTTTACATATTTGTTTGGGGGGTGTTTAATACATTATTTGATCGCTCTACTCCACTTGCTGTACGGATCAGGATGGTAGCGTTCATGTACAGAATATTTTAGCTTCAACTCTGGATCATGGGAGAAAGTGGAGATGCCTTGTCCATCTTTATATAGTATGAACGCCCTGAGATCCAATCATGTGGTCAAGTGGTCACAGGAGAAACATTCAAGACACTTTTTAATGCCAGGTTTGAACATTGTTTTCACATGTATCTGCACATTTAAATGGCCGGAGCTACTCACCATTTTCCCTACTGATTTAGGGTCAAACAGAACCATGGTCACCCTCTTGGGCTCCCGATGGTACGTACAGTAGTACTTCACCCAGGTAGATACAAATGAGCCTGAGGGAAAGACAGAAAGAAATGACGAGAAAATTAATGGAATAAAGGTTAAAACCAAGAATAACACATGAGAAGAAGGGAATAAAGAGAAAAGAGAAAAAAACTAAATTTAGAGGACGAGACTAGGTTTTAAAAAAAAAAAGGTTGAGTCTTAGTCCGACGTGCTTCAGTGGTGAATATGTTGCCATGGTACTGATCAGAGTGGTTGTCACGTCTCCAGCAGGTCACATGACTTTGTCAACTGTCGTTTCATCATGGTTTGTTTGTTCTGCTGCTCTGTTAATGTGTGTGGGAGAAAAAGATGCCACTAACACGCATGTACAGAACCAAGATTCACACACAGAGCCTGTTTCCATGGCACTGACACACTGGAAATTGTTGTTGAAATGCATCCTTACTGTAACATGTAATACATTCATTATACACACACACACACGCAGAGGGTTGGGCAGATACATACGCTTCTCCTGTACGAACAGGTATCCTTCCATGGTGTGCTGGCTGACACTCTTGTGATCGTGTGGATTCTCCTTCATCTTCCTCATCAGACTCTCCACCTCCGACCGTGTGCTCTCAAAGCGATTCCTCGTCTGTGCAAACACAAGCACAGGGAGGCACACACCTTAGGCCTTTCATCGAATGTTGTGATCCTGAGATAAAGCTCAACTTGCAACAACAGCAGAAGCTACATCTATTTTTCTGCAGAACGAGAGACACACAAACAGCCAGAAATTCTCAGCACTAACAATCTTAAATACTTGAGGTTTTTCAGTTTCTAATTAATATTTTTAAACTCTGAATGGAAAAAGGAGAATATGCTGAAATAAATTATACTGAAATTAAATGTTGTGTGTGTGTGTGTGTGTGTGTGTGTGTGTGTGTGTGTGTGTGTGTGTCTTACATTCTGTATGCTGATAGTGAGATCAGTCTTGAAGTGACTGAAGTCCTTTGCCAGCTCGTAACCGTGGTGATAGTAGGTGAACAGGCCTTGGAGAAACGCCAACAGCTGAGGGAAACAAAACGACATGACAGTGAAGGAAGTGGAGGAGTAGGAGGGAGAGATAAAACTAATGACAAGGAGGGTGAGGGGAAGAGAGGATGAGAAGGTAGATGAGGAAGGTGGACAGACAGACACTTTATCTGACTTCATAGAAATAAGTTAGTGGATTAAAAACAATGTCTGATGGTGTTCTGTTGCCATACAATACAGAAAAGAATGATTAAAAAAACCTTTATTGTGATTTCCTACTTAATTTAAATTGAGGTTTGTTTTGTGTGTGTGCAACAAATTGTATTTCCGCAGCGGTAACCACTGAGTTACCCTCCAGCAACTCGGCACCAAAAACTTCTAACGGCTGTTTGCCAGCAACAGAAGACTAACTTCAGAGAGCAGCTGCTGGGTGTGGATATCTCCGAGTCAGTGAATGTGCTGGAAAAGCAGCAAGAGTGCTCAGCGACTCAAGGGAAAGATACAAGGGGAAAGTGGGGAAAGTGTCTTCTTACCGGCTCCACAAAGTCGAACATCTTCCTCTCCTGGACCTCCTGCACCTTGAAGACATACTCCAGAGAAACCTCGTAGAAGTGCTGCCGTACATTATCGACCTGGTTGTCCGCCTACAGGGAAGAAAATTAAGAATGCTTAAAGACCAATCAGGTGGAAGAAAAAAAGACAGGTGTAAACCACGCGCTGCATATAGAGATGGACGACACGACTCCTCCCTAAGGTGAACCCAAACTGTCCCTGGTGGCTGGCTGCAGTATACATATCTGGCCACCTACATGTTAGCAAATGGGACATGAACCAAATCAAAAAGTCAAAGTACACATTGAATTCACAGGCAGTTTTATACAGATGTTTGTTCAAGTGTTCATGTTTCTGATAAGTTTGGTTTTAATTATTTATTTAATGTGGGGTGAAATTACATCATCTGGATACTGGGAGGAAGTGGAGACATGACGTCCATCTTTACATAAAATCTATTGATGTAAACTTAGGCATCTAAGATCTTACTTCATGTAGATGTGACTCTTTCTTCCGTGCTGAGAGGCTCAGATGTTTCTCCAGCACGGCACAATACTTCTCTGTCTCTTTGTCGTACTTCTTCTTGGCTTCCTGTAACAGATTTGGGTGACAGACAATATAATCAAGCTTCATCTCAGCTAATTCGACTCCTGTGAGACTTCAGACGGAACATTTCTGTCATGTTAACAGACAAAACATCTAATCTAATTAATTAACTTTAAACATATTATCATGGACTAATTTGATTAGTGGCTACCATCTGTATTCATCCATAACGCTCAAGTACAATTGACTTTGAGAACAGAGAGTAAAGGTAATCTTTATTTAGAGTGAATTTCTTTTAGCTTTAGCATAATATTTTCCATTTGTCAGGGAGACCACGGTTCCTCTGGGGAGCACAGCTGCTTATAAAACAACAGACTGTTTCACACTGAGAGCTGAGATCACCATCATCAGAGACAGACGAATGATGAACCAGGGACAGATAGAGCAGGGTGTGTGTATCTTACGACTGCTGGCTTTAAAACTTTAAAGAAAAATGTCCAAGAAGATCAAGAGACACTGAGGAAAGAACACAAGGCAGTCGTTTCTTCTGTTAACCTGTTCAGCCATTATCAGTCATGTTAAGTTCATTTAACTTTAATCTAATTCTAACCGATGGAAGGAAGAGATATGGACGTAGAGACGGAGGAGGGAAACTAAATGAGAGACATAAACCGAGGAGGGGCAGGTCAGGGTGGGTCGTCCTCTGTCAGAGAGACACTGGGGTGTTATTAACTGTACATCTGCCCCGGCTTGTTAGTGTTATTGCATTTCTTTATCCCAAACTCATGACATGACCGGATTAGAGCTTCAGGCCGAAGACCAAATTTAAGATTTACTGATAAAATCTGAATATTTGGTCCTGCAGAAAAAGCTGTGAATTGAGGTGTATATTTCTGTTTTCT